ATGATGCTATATTGTATATACATAATACACTTAAAACATTATACACCATGTATATGGAGTTTGAACTCCAACTTTGAGTTTATTTGTTTAGTTTCAATTTTTTTTTCTGTGAAGACAATTAGGTAATTAATCTCAGTGTGTAAATGATTATATAATCGTCACATTATTGTGATTATTCTAATTTTTATCATGGAAGTGATTAATCTAATTTTAATATTACTTCATTAGTATGATTAATTATGATATGAGAAAAGTATAGGTTAAAATACCAAATTTCATCCCTTAACTTTCAAATTTATACTAAAATTGTCCCTCAACTTCCAAAAGGATTAAAATTATCCCTAAACTTTAATTTTCAATACCAAAAAAATTCTTCCATTAACAAAAGTGTCACGTAACTCATTATTTTGCTACAATATCAGTTCTTTCTTAAAATACCAGGACTTGAAAAATCAATTAGTCATATTTTGCCATTGTAACATATTTCTATTGACATATCAAATTAATATATAATTAAAGTTGAAAAATCAAATTAGTATTTATAATCAAAGTTCAAAGACTAAACTAGTACTCGTCTTTAAAGTTTAAGAATTAAATTAGTATTATCTTCAAAGTTTGAAGACTATGTTGTACTAGAAATTTAGGGATAATTTGGTACTTTCTAAAATTGAGGGACCAAATTAATATTTTAACCAAAATTAAAAATTAGGAAATCTTGGCATTTCAAATGTGAGGATTATTTATGAAATTATTTAAATATCATCAGTGAATATTTCTTATGAGTTGATTCACAGAGATTATTTAAAAGGTTTCATTAGCATTCCTGAATTTTTAATTATCAAGATATCTTAACTTTCTACTATCTCTTTTTATATATTATGATAGTTTAATTAGTATAATTAAAATATTTTGATATTTCTATATTGTAAAGTCTATATAAATTTTCTTTTTAAAAAATATTATATAATTAAAATTGCAAAATTCAAACTATTAGGTTCGAAGATTGTTCCCAATTCGATAATTCTTATTTTACATTTTACTGTCATGTGTCATTATAATCTTATAATTATGAGGGACGGAGCTAGTGTAGGACAAAAGGGGGCAGCTGCCCCCCCTAAGCTTTTAAAAAATGTTAAACATGGTACATCATTTTTATTTTGTACAAAATTCTATGTTTGAAGTTAATTTGAATAATAGGGACCATTCAAATATAAAAAAATATTAAGGACATAGGTAAGGGGATTATTTTTCTTTTTGTGACTAATTTTTATAGAGACATGATAATTAGATAAGAATAAATATAAAAAATAGTTAAGATCTAATTCTTTCAGATAAATTTATATAAGGTTTTAAACTAGTTATATATGATGTTTTTGGTATGATTTATATTCTATTAAACCAAAGTTCATTTGATATATATAACTTTACCAAAAAAAAAATTATATTTTTATATTATTCATTTGACGGTCTTGTATTTATGTTATTGCAAAATAGTTAAATATATCTAATTAATAAAAAAATTTGTTGTGCATGATATAAGTGATAGATGCATAGAAATAGCAATTAATTTAAAAACCAATATAAATTATATTAATAGAAACTGTTAAGTTTTTATTTATTAGTGTTGTGTTGTATGCATAAGTTTTTTTTTTTTAATCTTTTAATATCTTAAAAAATATAAAATATTAATCAAAATTACTAAAAGTATATAAAATA